TTGTATATACGGCCCTCTACACCGTCAGATTCTCCTACGGAGATTTCGGGTAGTTAAGTAAGAAAAATGCTAATATTAAGATATAAAATAGGGAAAATAATATTCATTCAATTGTGGATCTTAAAACAAAATCCTCTTATTAATTTACCAGCGACGAAGAACGCGAATAAAAAAATGGCATCATCTTCTCTCTCATCTTCTTCTCAAGTACTTCTTCTTGGTCGCATTCAATGGTACTATAATTTAATAGAGAGTCTTTGGTCTTCTGCTGTTGATGAATGGCAACAGTACACATATGTAGAAAATGAAATCATTGAAGATGCATACAACGAGAAGTTAGAGATTGAAATTGATAATGATCAGGTTATTGAGTTTGAATGTCAAGTACAACACGCGAAAAATGATAAAAACAAATAACATCCAATAAAATGAGTTCAATTTCAAACAGATCTCGGTAATGTGCATTTGAGAGGAGAGAGATTTTCGTCGCCCATAACACTCGCTACAGAAATAACACGTTCAGGCAGCATGCCACAACCTCCTTGTACACTCACGTCAGTGTTGCGAAACAATATTGTGATATTGAAGCTGTTTTTAGCTTTAAAACGATAACTAGGATTATTGAAGATGCTATATAAGGAATAATTAAAACAGGAACTGACCTTGGTAAAAGAAGAAAAGAAAGCTCAGTGGTTAGCTCGAAAATTAGAAAGTGTCAAACATTATACTAATTCAGATGGTTGGATTCCACGAAATATTGAACACGCTATTATCTTCATTTGCACGAGAAATTCTTTCGGGTACAAATTCGTCAATTGTCTTCTTCATGATCTTAGCACAATGACCGCTGAACAAACAGACACAATAGGACCATCTTGCTATGTATTACACAATTATTTACGGCTCGTAAAACAAGAGTGCACAGAAGGTCTCCTTGTGTATCGTGGCGTCGAACTGACAGACAAGCAGCGACAAAGTTTTATGAAAATATATATGAAATTCACTTCTTTCACATTGACAAGTAGAAGACGAGATTTATCTGAACTAATAATTTGGCAACACTCTACTAATCATTGATCTAGACGAAAAAATATTTAACGTTCCACCTTCAGAAAGGATTCGTTGCGGAGTGGATATTTCATGCATATCTAATTTTCCGGAGAAAGTAAAATTCCTGATATGGCCAGACAGAAATTTCATATTTGTCAAATATGAATATGATGCAGTAAGCGATAAACATATTATTCATCTTAAAGCGGCTAGGGTGAATTTTTAATTCGTCCTTTTCCGATTTCTTTGCTAGACATCCCATGTAAAAATGATGAATACAACATTTCAACACCAACTAAGTCCGGTCACATCAACATTGTCTTTTTTTTATTCGATTTTCTTTGTCAATTTTTATAAAAGTGTTTTGTTCATACCTGACATCGGAATATTTTAAAACTTTTCCTATAAGTTCATCAAGTATATTTAAAGTTCTCGGCGCAAGTGTGGACAGGTGTGGCTGTACGCCTTTTCTATTACCACATCTACACTCACACCTCAAGATTTCTTCCGTATTGACAAACTGATCCATCTCAATCATCAAGGTACCTATTCGGTGCAATCAAGTTGATCCTTGTGTAGTATTTCTCATATGGTGAGTAATTTTATTGAACTGTTCGTCATTATTTCTTATCAATGTTAAATTGATTTGAGCCGACCGGTTTTGAATTTTTCACATTTCACTACTACGAAGTGCAATATGCATTGAAAAAAGTAATTTCTTCTTCTATGTCTGCATAATAATTAATCTCGTTTAAAGATGTCAATGGAATAGACAAGATAGTTGGATCAATTTCTGTTGGAAAAAGAATTCTTGTAAGATTGGAATTTTGTCGAGGACTGTCTGCATATAGAAAAGCGATTCTTCGATCGACAACTCTCGGTAAAAAGTTATTGAAGGAGAGAAGACATTCTTTATTTTTTTTAATATTTTTGAATTCAATATTTAACATACTTTGATCTCGACAAACAACCGATTGAGGCCAATCGTTCGCTTGAGAATGTAACTGTTGAATTTGTCGATGAAGATCTTGAAGAAGGAGTTCCATTTAAAGAATAACTTCTATATCTTGTGTTCGATGAGCTGTATTCAACATCGAATAAGTAAAACATTTTCGAATATACTACCATATAGGTGATCGATGATTGTACTTCGTTTCAAGTTCATCAATTATATGTTATTTCCTAGGACTATTTACAAATTGTTCTCGATAAAAATTAACTAGTTTTTTCTTTGCAAATGCAGCATATGGTAATTTCATTATAGTTTTCTTAAGTAATGGTGAGTACATGAATGACTGATCAAGCTTATTCATATTGTTTGGAAATGTGGTAGAAAGAATCTTTGTTGATGTGAGACGAGTTTCTGATTGTTGGATATCTGGTTTTAATGTATGACAAATAGACTGAATATGTGCAAAAAATCATTTTGTATTCTGATATTTGTTTGCCAATTTTTCATGTACTGTTTTATAATTACAGAATGTATATAGATCACGTTGATTTATTGGATATTTTCAATAAGTAGAACATGGTTGTGTCCAAGTGAACCAGAAATAATCAAAAATACTTTGTCATTTGTGATATCAGTGATGAAATTAATACATTAATCAGGATTATTGAATGTTTTGACTGAGTTGACCATCTGTTGAAGTTAATTAATAGAATACTAGTTATATTCATTTTCCTCATTAATAGTAGAATTTAGTCATATAAGAATAAAAATTTCAACGATACGAAGTCATAAAATTCGTTATTCAATGTTAGTAACATTTATATGAATTCTATTATAGTAGCAGAAGATTGAAAAATCATGTTCTTGAGTATGGCTGACAGTATTTTGCTCTTACTAAATGTATCATTTTATGAATGTTAACTATTGGTCTCTGTTTTCACTATTACATTTATTTATTTGTCAATATTGTAAACATTTTATTGCTACATATGCATGAATCATCAAATTACTATCGATTGAAAGATCCATCTATGCACTTAGTACAAATGAAAATTCAAAAAAATAAAATTTGATAAAAATGTATAGAAACAAAAGGTATATTTACTTATATATTTTGTTTTTGTGAAAGCTCAGTGCCACATAAATGATGGCGCTACATTACACACAGAACTGGATAATAATACAGCCAATTTTGTGTGAGAAGAAATAAAAAGAAAAGATGTCGATAAGTCAACTTCTCGATTTTTAATTTCATGATTACAGTATATCAGAAGAATTTGAAGTCATAAATGATCTTTATTAATGATATACTCCATATACTGTAAATATGAGCTTTCAAAAACCAGCCCCAGGTTAGATGTCGCCACACGTGGTGCATTTGACATTGATTAACATTTCTCCTAGTGACTTCAGAAGAAATTTAAGCGTGAAAGAGCTTAGCCCTATCTCTTCTTCCAAGGTACTTGTTGATCTACTTGAGGCAGTAACTCTCATAACATACTTTCAAATGTTATTGCTAAAATCTAAAACTACAATTCCATCAAAATTAAATGATTAAATGTGCACTAGTTGTATCTTAGGTTCGAAGATCTCAAATTTATGTATGAGAACATAAAATTTGAAAGCAAAAAAGAAAAATATTTATTTGAGCATAATACGACTGTTTCTTGTAAATATCTGAAAAAGTATCAGTAAGCTGTTCAAAATTAATATCTATATCACGTTCAGCAGCCAATAAACAAATATCACTTAAGCGAGAATCAGTCATAGAATTTCGAACTGTTGTTTTAGTAGTTT